AAGAGTGCCACCTACTGAATCAAATTTCCTGGGTTCCCTCCAAGGGCTGGTCTTGCAGCTTTAGAATTGTCCTAATATACTTTACTGTGAGAAATAATGGTATTGCAGTGCCATGCATGAAATACTATGTTTCTCACTTCAGGCACCTTATTTTAATGATCCAGAACTCACATCTACAAATTAACTATTTCATTCATAAACTTTTCATTTGTTTTAAAAAGTACTATACAAAGACTGAACAAATCTAACCTTCGTGTGAAGGAAATGTCCAAAAGAAATGCCTGCACGTCTCTCTTTATTGTCAAAGGAACCACAAGGGGGAGCTAGCATGTAACTTCTTCTGGGGCAGGAGAGTTGAGGTTTCAGAATTAATTGAACCCTTTTATTTTGGGCTAAGTCTGGAGAAGCTATAAATACACCATTTGGAATTTATGAAGTTCAAAATAATTTTCTCAGAATTATATCTTGTACTATGTAACCCAACTTTCCTTCTTAAATACATGTTAACTAATACATTAGGTATAAATTTTTCCTCTGAATATTCCTGTTTCTAAATGGTCTTTATCCAAGTACTCTAAACACAAGCACACACACACACACAGCTTATTTGAGCCACTCCAAGTAACCTTCAATTATAATCTTAAATATAAAAATCTTAAATTAACTTTTAAATTTGTTTCAATACTTTAAAATAAACATCCTGAAATATGTGTCACTGTTCTAAAGTTGATAATTGGCAACAAATTTATGAATATTTCCTTCTGATTTACATACTTAGAAATACATGTAAAATACATGGATGCCAGTTGGAAATTCACTTAATTTATTGTGGGAATTTCAAATTAATACAACCTGTATGTTTTAGTTGAGTTAATCCTATAACTTTTACTTTTGGCTATTCATTGGGAACTTTCTATGTGTGAGACGAGTACACATTTATGTGTATATGTTACCGTATTGTAATACAACAGACACATATAATACAGAAAAATATTAAATTGTTTCCTGATGGGAATTTTTCTAATAGCAAGATTTAATAATTTTAAAAAACATTTAGAAAAAAATTAGCATTCAATTTAAAATAGTGTTTATTTCTGGAGATATTTCACACTTTTTTGTTCTTATGTAGGAGAGAATTAGTTCTTAAAACTTTAAGAATTATGTAATATTTTCCCTGAAGCTTAAAAATTATAGTTAATTTACATTGCTTACTGTACTTCATATTTATCATAAGAAGAAAAGGTATGTTGTAGTGGTTTTCCTATTAGTGGTGTCAATTTGTCATTTGTTGAAAGAAAAAGCTGTGATTAAGAGTCAGCAAATGCCAAATAGCAGTGTGATAGAGGTGAGCCACTGCTATCTCCAAAAGATGATGGGAACTAGGAGAATTAGCTGTGATGAAATACTATAATTTATTTTGAGATTTATACAAGTTACATTAACCTCTTGTATTTATTATATCTAAAACAGTTTAACTGTTAAATTTATTTTTGAAAGTCCTCTGTCAATGAGTAAAAATATATGAAACTAGGTAGTCAAATAAGGGTAAAAATAATGGAGAAGGAAATAGTGGAAAGAGACTTTTTAATTCATATATACAGTAGCTGTGTTGAAAACATCAGCATGTTTTCAAGAATATAGCAAGCAGGATAAGTATTTGAAGAATGTTCCAAGTGCTGCCATAATGACTCCATGCATAAACTCTCAAAACTACAACTGCAACTTGTAAATATGGATTTTAAAGAGTCTCTCAGAAACAAAATTTAAGATTTAAATAACAAGATTTCATAAAAAAGCACCTTTAAGATTATTTCTTAGAATAACAATGATATTCTTCAGTTATTGATTTAATGCAGTAGTATTAGTTTTTTTAGTTTGTAAAAATAGACCTGAATATTTCTCTGAAGTTATTCTAACATAATGATTAATTTATCTTAAAACCCACCTAGACTAGCATAGTATCTTATTAATGTTATGTTTAAGTCTTTCTGAGTACTTTTTCCCAATGAGTGCACATACACCTATATTTTCTATTAAATCACAAAATCTTTGGATGTTCATGTATAATATTAGTGTAAGTTGAAACTATCATTGGTAATTATATTTCATGATTATAAACCAGTCTCTTAAGGAATGTGAGATTGTAAGTATTTTTAGTTATGCACAACACTACATTCTTCATAGATTCCTCAGCTAGGTCTTATAGGTCCACAGCCTAGTATGGTATAAAAACCAATATTTATATAATCTCTTTTCAAAAATAAGCTCAATATTTTAATCATAATCAGAAACAAATTCCTCAATAATTTTATCACAAACAGAAAAAATATTTGGAGAAAAGGATAGGATTTATGAAATGGTTAAATATTAGCAGCAATTGTAGTTTAAAAAGTTAAAGGGAATCCAAACAATTGGAAATATCAATTGGTCCATTTCCTGTGTCAATAAAATAGAGATGAGATATAAAGATAAAAGTTAATTATTTGGTGTACTTGTCAGTCTTTACCAAGAGAACTCAACACTATAAATTAAAGTATAGTAAGATACCTGATAAGATCTTCTAGCTTCCTCTGGCCGACTACCACAGGAGTATTCACATAAACTTGGTAGTTCTCTATCTATACACTAGGGGGTGGTGTGACATAATTACTCTGGAGGGGTGGAGGGCAAACCGATGTCTGAGGATGTATTTATCACTGGACTCTTCTTAGAAAACACTGTATTTCTCCCCTCATTTGCATAACAGCACATCTAGTTAAAGTTAATCAAACCATATTACCCTTCCCTTGAAATTCTTTAATTCTCTTGTTTTTATCTAATCATAAACCTCAAGTAAGGATATTTTATGACTTCCCTTGAATTAGTAAATAATGCAAAAAAAAACTATGAATTTGTTGTATTAAGAAAGTAATGATAATAAATGAGTGTGTAATCACTACCTCATTACCTTTATTTAAGCTGGCTAATGCTTTTAAAGTTTCAAACTTTAGCTTCCAAGATAATTGTGTTGGGACAGAGATTATAACCAAAACAATGAAAAGGTAAAGTTTCATTAGGCAGTATGGTTAGGCCCTTAGCAAAACAACTCAGATTGCTAAAGCTCTAGTTCACCTGTTTAGCAAAAATGACAAACTACATATTTAGAAAATACAAGACTTTAGGACTTTTTTTTTTCATATTTTTAAGAATTATGAGATTGTAAGTATTGATAGTTATTATGCACAACACTACGTTCTTCTAGATTTCTCACCTAGGTCTCATATGTCCATAGCCTACTATGGTATAAAAACCAACAGGATCTTTACACTAAAAAAAAAAGTGAATAAAAGGAAAAAAATTACAAGACATTTTAGGATATTAAGGTCGTATAAAGAGTTTCTCTTTGAATTTTTAAATGATTAAAGATATCTTAAGGGAGTGTAAAATTTTGGGTCCAGACGAGACTGCAAAGTCAGACTACAGGTTGTCTCATTTAATCTTCCAGAAAATAGCTTCTTTATCCAAATCTTTAAAAAATTATTCAAACAACAATCACCAGAACTTTCTTGTAATTGGTTTGGATTTAATTTTCTTGAAAATTAATTTTCATGAAATTCTGAATGATTCATGTTACAGACTTGTACTGGTCATTGACAATTTATAAATGGCAACTTAACTTTAGTATTTATGAATTGTGATCACTACTGTAGCAATCAAAACACTCACCTTTTCTATTTCAATATTTCAATTTTCTTTTTCCTTCTTAACTCTTTCCCAGGGTGGCTGGATCACTCGAACAAACCAGTCCTTGCTTGCGGATGTTTGTGATAATAGTTTGGGAAGAAAGAATCTCTGAGATTAGGAAGTGGGAGAAATAAAGGAACCAGGAGCCTGTGTGTGTGTGTGTGTGTGTGTGTGTGTGTTGGGTTGTATTAGAAAAAGTCTTAGCAGATCTCCCACTCATCTGCCCTCCCTTTTACATTCTATGCATGGGAGCTTGGCAAGTGTGGTTATGAAGTCCTATTTGGTCCTGAAATTCTATTCAAATTGCCATATGGAACTTTAAAAACAATATTGAGGTGAGCAAAACACTAAAATTATCGTAAACATTTGTGTATTTGTGTGACTGCTTTCCTCGAATCTGGGCTGAGATGCGGGTGACTGAAAAGGGCCCTAAATATTATTTAAACAGATATCGAGTTTTAACAAGCTATAAAGCTTGAATTGACAGGAAATCTTTCTCCTTAAAGGAGAGGCGCTTTTCCTCTGGGGAGACACGACTGCTCTTTCACTGGGCTTCTGCTTTTCTTCTGAAACTCTTTCATAATCAAGTGACTTTCCTTGCATGGGTGCCTGGGGACAGCTGATTTTTCTCCGAGGATAAAGAAAGTTACATATTGATTGCTGTTGCTCGTGGTGTGTTTGCACCAGCTCTGGCATAAGCGGGCGCGCTAGCGCATTCTCGCATTCACACACATTCACTGAAATACTCATCACACCCCCCAGAAACACAGACGCACACACTTAGAACACATGCTCACACACACACACACACACAGCAGGCACGCACACACACATTTTTCTGCACCACATTCAGATACGTCCACGCGCAGCCAATCTGCACTTCCCTTGGCGTGAGTGTATGGTGTGTGTGTGTGTGTGTGTGTGTGTGTGTGTACAGAATCCCAAGTGGAAGACAGCAGCTACCTTATTCTGCAAGCACGCTGCGATTCCAGTTTCCTGTGTATATCGAACAAAAAATTTAAATCGCTGTCAAACTTTTTTTTCTTTTAATTCTCTCTTTTCCAGAGGAAGACGATGGAGGAGCTTCTCCCAGTAGTTGAAGACTCAGAAGACCTGGCGGCGAGGCCCTGGGCACCGCCGCCAGAGCCGAGCGCCAGGCTGGGCTAGCCGGGCTGGTCCGCAATCTAACTGATCTAATCAATGACTCTGAGGAGCTGGGGATCCTGGCCCCGCCCCCACCAGTCTCTTCTCCGCTTTCCATTGGGCGCAGAATGAGGAGGCAGGGCCTTGTTCAGCAAGTGGATTGGCTGGCAGGGAATCAGTATCAATGTTTAAGCGGCGGCGTGAGGTGAATAGAGTCAGTCAGCAAGAGGCGCTTGGAGAGAGCTGGGGCTGCGAGCCCTGCGGATGCGGCAGCGCGGAGGGAAGCTGGGGAGACGCTACTCCAACTGTTGAATTTTCACCTTTCATTTCCTCCGATGCTTTGCTTGCGGAGATGGATTTATTTGCTTTGAAATCCGCACGTCTTCCGCAAGATGTGAGCTGATCCTGACAGGCACCATTAAAAGAGACCACCAGTGAACGAAAGGAGGAAAAAAAAAAAAGCACAACCCTCCACAACGGACTGCACAATTAACTATGCACACCGGTGCTGGACTTTGTGAATAGAGAACACAGAGGAAAATCGTGACTATGATGCGAGGCTAAGCCGGGCACAGTCACTGGAATCCTGTGGTTTTTTTTTTTTTCCTTCTTCTTTTCACACAGGACTCTGAAAGATTTGGGGTTTCCTCACGCCTAACCAAAAGAAAATATATATATTTTAAATAAATAAATAAACAAATAAATATACCTAGCAAAACAGACGCCTTGTTTTCCGGAGCCTCGGACTCCAGCAGAAAGAGGTAGAGTAAAAGTGCTGCTGGATTCAGCCTTCCCTTCCTCTTTCCCTCCACCCCTTCTCTCGATTTTTTTTTTCTTTTCTCCAAAACCTGAATCTGGCATTTCTTTCTATAGAGTGAGTCAGAGAAAGCGTTAGGAAGAAGCCGCAACTCATGTCTGTGAAGGGAGGACGGTGAGGCGAGAGTGAATACGATTCGTTCCACTGCTTCTGACTCATCGGGCAGATCGGAACACCTGCATTTCTGGATGTGTCATACCCGAGGCGCCTCGAGAACCTGAAATACTGTGCAGGCAGACCTGCGCCTGACCTCCCCGCCCCGGGGTGGGCGCCCCTGGCCGGGCCGCCGCGGCCGCAGCTCCTCACCCCCCACCCCCACCCCTGCCTCCTCCCGGCGCCCAGAGAGACTGTGTGAGAGCGAAGACTGCAGAATGCATCACGCCAAACCTTGATGTTGTTTCTTTCATCCAGTCCACTCCTACTATAATTTTTTTTTGAAAAAAAAAAACCCCGCACTCTATTCGCTTCAAATATTCACCACTTTTATTCCTCGCCAAGGTTTTCCTTCCTCGATGAAGAGGACTGGGAGGCAGGGCCACTGGAAGGAGAGACTGAATAGAAAGAAAAGAGAGGCACTTGACAGCCGAGCCCTGTGAATGCAGAGACTGTTTCCCTGCTAGCGAGAGACAGGCAGAGTGTGTGCGCGAGTCCTGGGAGGGTGGCTCCCCTTCCTTTTTATTCCGCCTCCCCCTCCCCCTTCAAATCTGCACATCCAACCATGAGTTGCCTGTTGATTTCCTTTCGCCTGGGAAGACGAGCAAACTGGAATTAAACTGCATCGAGAGAAGTCCTTGCTCGCGCGGACAGAATGGGATGGTAGCGGCGGCGACAGGCTTGGCCGAGAGAAATCAGAGTGTCTACGAGCGGAGGCGGGGATATTGCTCTCTATTCCCCCTCCCAGTAGACTCACACCGCAAGCGCTGATCAGGCTGTGTGGCTTTCTTGACTTCGAGGGAGAGCCTTTTCCGAGGAAGAGAGGGAGGAGCCTGGTGGAGGGAGGAAACTACAAATCGGGACACTAGCTCTTTGCGCTGCATTTCCTCCCCTCCCTTTGGCTGCTCGGAAAGGAGAGAGAAAAAAAATACGCTGGGCTGGGAGATGCAGTCTGCCGCCGCTGTTGCCTCAGCCAGCAGAGCAAGATTAGATCTCTAAATGCAGCAAAAGACTGCCTGAAAACAGACTAGCCCGCGAAGCAAGCAGACATTTCGCAGGGCTCCGCGGAGGAGTTAATATATATATATCTGACTCTCTCTCCATCGCTTCTCATCCCCATCAATTTCAGCACAGGAGGCGAAAAACAAGTAAGGATTTCACTTTCCTATCTGCCTGGAGACACACCTCCCCGCTCCCTCCCCCACCCGCTGTGAGGAGTATTCCGGAGGCAACCGCCGCCGAGTGAATTTGCAGCGCCCTAGCGCGAGCGAGGAAAACCTACGGATTCTGGATTCTTTAGCTCATCCATCATCCCTCCTGGACGCTATTTCCTTCTCATCGCCTGCCTCACCCCTCAAGTTTGAGTCGCCCGAAGTCCGGGCCGGAGAGACAAAGCCCCAGGCTCGACCCCAGCCGCAGGGCGCCTCCGCCTCGTTCGGTGCCCCTGCGGCTCCGCTGCGCCGCTGCTTCTCGCCCAGTGCGGATGCTGTAGATCAACAGGTTCGGGGAACTTGAGCGGAATAAGGAGAGACCGCCCGGTGCCGCAGTCGGGGAGCGGAGGGAAGAAAGGACCCACAGACTTGTGACTCGCTTCGCGCACGCACTCTGCATCCGAGCCCCAGGCTGGCGCGCGCCCACTCCCTCGCCCCTCCAGTCCCGCTGCTCCTGCCCCCACCCCACCGGTCTGGGATGTACCTTTCCATTTGTTGCTGTTTCCTCCTGTGGGCCCCTGCCCTGACACTCAAAAACCTCAACTACTCAGTGCCGGAGGAGCAAGGGGCCGGCACGGTGATCGGTAACATCGGCAAGGATGCTCGACTGCAGCCTGGGCTTCCGCCCGCAGAGCGCGGCGGCGGCGGCGGCGGCGGCGGCGGCGGCGGCGGCGGGCGCAGCAAGTCGGGTAGCTATCGGGTGCTGGAGAACTCCGCGCCGCACCTGCTGGACGTGGACGCCGACAGCGGTCTCCTCTACACCAAGCAGCGCATCGACCGCGAGTCCCTTTGCCGCCACAACGCCAAGTGCCAGCTGTCCCTCGAAGTGTTCGCCAACGACAAGGAAATCTGCATGATCAAGGTGGAGATCCAGGACATCAACGACAATGCACCCTCCTTCCCTTCGGACCAGATCGAGATGGACATTTCAGAGAATGCGGCCCCCGGCACGCGATTCCCCCTCACCAGCGCCCACGACCCGGACGCCGGCGAGAACGGGCTCCGCACCTATCTGCTCACGCGCGATGACCACGGCCTTTTCGCGCTGGACGTCAAGTCCCGCGGCGACGGCACCAAGTTCCCAGAGCTGGTTATTCAGAAGGCACTAGACCGCGAGCAGCAAAACCACCACACGCTAGTGCTGACCGCCCTGGACGGCGGCGAGCCGCCGCGGTCAGCCACAGTGCAGATCAACGTGAAGGTGATCGACTCGAACGACAACAGCCCTGTCTTCGAGGCGCCCTCCTACCTGGTGGAACTGCCCGAGAACGCCCCGCTGGGCACCGTGGTCATTGATCTGAACGCCACCGACGCCGACGAGGGTCCCAACGGGGAAGTGCTCTACTCTTTCAGCAGCTATGTGCCCGACCGCGTGCGGGAGCTCTTCTCCATCGACCCCAAGACCGGCCTGATCCGTGTCAAGGGCAACCTGGACTATGAAGAGAATGGGATGTTGGAGATCGACGTGCAGGCCCGAGACCTGGGGCCCAACCCCATCCCGGCCCACTGCAAGGTCACTGTCAAGCTCATCGACCGCAACGACAACGCGCCGTCCATCGGTTTCGTCTCCGTGCGCCAGGGGGCGCTGAGCGAGGCCGCCCCGCCCGGCACTGTCATCGCCCTGGTGCGGGTCACTGACCGGGACTCGGGCAAGAACGGGCAGCTGCAGTGCCGGGTCCTGGGCGGAGGGGGTCCGGGAGGCGGCGGCGGCCTGGGCGGCCCGGGAGGGTCCGTGCCCTTCAAGCTTGAGGAGAATTACGACAACTTCTACACGGTGGTGACTGACCGCCCGCTGGACCGCGAGACACAGGACGAATATAACGTGACAATCGTGGCGCGGGACGGCGGCTCGCCTCCACTCAACTCCACCAAGTCGTTCGCTGTCAAGATTCTGGATGAGAACGACAACCCTCCTCGTTTCACCAAGGGGCTCTACGTGCTGCAGGTGCACGAGAACAACATCCCAGGCGAGTACCTGGGCTCCGTGCTCGCCCAGGACCCCGACCTGGGCCAAAACGGCACGGTGTCCTACTCCATCCTGCCCTCGCACATCGGCGACGTGTCCATCTACACCTACGTATCCGTGAACCCCACCAACGGGGCCATCTACGCCCTGCGCTCCTTTAACTATGAGCAGACCAAGGCGTTTGAGTTCAAGGTGCTTGCTAAGGACTCGGGGGCGCCCGCGCACTTGGAGAGCAACGCAACTGTGAGGGTAACAGTGCTAGACGTGAATGACAACGCGCCGGTGATCGTGCTGCCCACGCTGCAAAACGACACGGCTGAGCTGCAAGTGCCGCGGAACGCCGGCCTGGGCTACCTGGTGAGCACAGTACGCGCCCTGGACAGCGACTTCGGCGAGAGCGGCCGCCTCACCTACGAAATCGTAGATGGGAACGACGACCACCTGTTTGAAATCGATCCGTCCAGCGGCGAGATCCGCACGCTGCACCCCTTCTGGGAGGACGTGACGCCAGTGGTTGAGCTGGTAGTGAAGGTGACCGACCACGGCAAGCCCACCCTGTCCGCGGTGGCCAAGCTCATCATCCGCTCGGTGAGCGGCTCCTTGCCCGAGGGGGTTCCCCGGGTGAATGGCGAGCAGCACCACTGGGACATGTCGCTGCCGCTCATCGTAACTCTCAGCACTATTTCCATCATTCTCCTAGCGGCCATGATCACCATCGCCGTCAAGTGTAAGCGCGAGAACAAGGAGATCCGCACTTACAACTGCCGCATCGCCGAGTACAGCCACCCGCAGCTGGGCGGGGGCAAGGGCAAGAAGAAAAAGATCAACAAAAATGATATCATGCTGGTGCAGAGCGAGGTGGAGGAGAGGAACGCCATGAACGTCATGAACGTGGTGAGCAGCCCCTCCCTCGCCACCTCCCCCATGTACTTCGACTACCAAACCCGCCTGCCCCTCAGCTCGCCGCGGTCGGAGGTTATGTACCTCAAACCCGCCTCCAACAACCTGACTGTCCCCCAGGGGCACGCGGGCTGTCACACCAGCTTCACCGGACCAGGGACTAATGCGAGCGAGACCCCGGCCACTCGGATGTCCATAATTCAGGTAGGAGACTTTTAGCGTAACTGGGACTTTATTGCTGGTGTTGGAGCTGTCCTGAAACCTTTGCAACAGGACAAGCCACACTGGCAGCAGCAGAGAGAGGGGAAATTTTTTAAGTGAAAATGGTTTACACTTTTGCCACTATGTGTACAACATATTCTATACATAACCCCTTCCATGTAAATAGCCTAAAATCTATAAGATGTAAATGTCTTACTTTTTGTGGCATTTTAAAGTTTATTTTTACAGGTTTAAAAATGTTAGCAGAGTTCAGTATTCATAGTTTATTTTACTTTATTTTTATTTGTTGGTCTGCATTTCTTTCCATCACAAAGGATTCTCAGAGTACAAAAAAAAATTGTTTTAGTTAATTCACTTTAAAGGTGTTTAATTCCATATTAAAAAATCTGATGTCAAAAATGAAAGAAATGTGTACCCAAATATTAAGAAGTTAACCACTTCCAGGGAAAAATGGCAAATCATTCAGAATTCCAGAGCCTGAATTAATTTAAGCTAAGTTTTATGCCCCTGCCCCCCAAGTCACTGTTTTGTTTAAAAACTGTTTTAAAGGACTTGAATCTTACTTATTCTCCAGCTGAACCTGCTGCTTTATAAACCTATGCAGTAGCATAGTTTAAACTTTTAAAATGTGAACTATGATCTGAAGCTCTTACAAATGTTTGAATAAACATAGGCTCTGGATAATGACTAGTAACTATGAAAAACTTATATTTATTTTGTCCTGTGGTTTTCCTGATATGTCCTTTGGAGTTATTAAAGAACAGAGTCACAGACTCATTTTGTGATTTTGAAAACAGGAGACTGAATTGCACTAAAGACACTTAATTGCCAAAAAGAATTCCAGGATGCATTTAGTTTGCATACTGAGTTTTTCCAGTATACCTAGGTGATGTTTAAGGTATATGAGACAGTATAATCCAAAGTTACTAATAAATGAGGGAAGAAAAGCCTAAATGATTTCATGAACATAGATTCTAACAATAGCAGGTGACTATTATGTCTTGTCACTGCTTAGTATCTTTTATTCACTATTGAGTTGTGTCAGAGAAAAACTTAATTCTTCCTTATTATGAATGCTGTTGCTACAAATTACTCTGGATGAACAGTACTTGAAATCCAAAATTGAGTTTAACTCAAAGTGACACTTTGGGAGGAAGATTAGTTTGGGGCAAATGAAAATGATTTGTTCATAATTTTATGCTTGGAAAGCAAATAACGTTTAATGACACTTGACTCAGCAATGTTTTTATTATTAAAATGCAATAGGAAATTTAATAATCTTATCCTCTCTAACATGATAAGTGCAAAAATACTAAAATTGAGTGAAACATATTTTCTTATAATAGTATAATGTCCTTGTAAAACAGATTCTTGTACTTGATGCCACTAAGGTATCAAATGTAGTACTAAATCCCACTTTTGCAGTGTTTACTATATAGTAGTAATCATGATTTTTTTGAGATCTTTATAAAACTGGACACGAAATTCCTCCCTTAAAAAACCTATGATTTCTATGAAATTCTTTCTGTGATTGTGTAAAACTGATATTTATGATAATCTCTGTAGAGGGAGGCATGTGAAAACATATAATTACAGATCTTTTACAGTCATTTTATAAATACACATATGTTATGTATCTTTCTTATATTTTTACCATTGATAATTACAAAGATACCACTGAGGGTTAATGCTTAATCTTCCACTTCAAATGCAATGAGTTGGATTCTTATTTAGGTTCCAGTAAAAATGAACTTGGTGCAGTAGAATTTTCAGCAAGCCTGATTCCTTGGTCAGATTAGTAAGGAACAGTCCTGAATCAAACATCCTGAAGAGTTTGAGGGACAGGGGTGCCTCTCCTGTGCACCATGCTGTCTCGAAGCTGTTCATTGCTCCAGGGATGGGTGATGATGGTGGTCATGATGATGATGATTCCTCTCATTAGCAGTAAAACTTACACCAAAGCAAATCATACACACATGAAAGGAGAGAGATAATTTAAACAGAGAACAAAGGACAAACTTCCTTGCCAATCCCTTCTTCTAGAATTTCTTCTGGAAAATAAATCTATGCTATAAAGACCGAGGAAAAGTTTAAAGTTCTCGAAATTGTTTTGAAAGTGACTCAATTTCCAATATTGCTCCTGCTATGGAAATATCCCATCAAGTGTGTTTATTGGTATGTGTATTTACAAGCTTGCTGAGGAAACACACTATTAATCTCACGTGTATTTCTGGAGGTAGAGTCTTAATCCACAGAGTACACTCGGAGTAGCAGCTACTAGGTCTGCTTTATCTTTTATTTTCCAGCATTTGTATGTGTGTGTCCTGTTTAGAAGGTAGAATGTATTTCTCATGATGGAATGAAAAGAGTCTTCTACAGTTGTTTTGAGATACACTGATAAAGACTGGTGATAGGAAATTTAGAAACTTCAGTATTTGTAAGACTCATGTTATAGCTCAAATTAAGATTTAAATATCCAAAGATTTTGTGTGAGACACAGGGTCTAAAATTTCAAGGTTAAGATCTGTAGGTTCTTTGGCATAAGAGTATTTTTATTGAATATGGATGCAGAGCAATCATGTAGGAACAGTGTAGAAACAATGGTTTGTGAGAAGAGATTTTATTTCAGGTTTGCTTCAAGTCGTTCAGTCAAAGTCAAGCCAGTCTACGAAGTTTTTAAACAATAGACTAGTGATTAAAATATCCTCAATAGTGTGGATCATAATACAGTGTTGTTATAACAAAATATTTTATTCATTTTAAAGCTATAAAATAGATTTTTAAAAACAAGAGCACAGATTTTGTGGTAGGTAAGGCAAATAGATTGTTGTCCATATTTATACAAGCACTTTTCAAAGGAATAATTTCCATGTGGATTATTTCATATGTTAACATGAGAACCTAAAATCAAATAGAGATCACTACTACTACTGTCACACGTAACTTCCAACTTATACTTATCAAGAACTATTTGTTCAGTCTTAGGGTAACTTCTCAACAGGTGTTTTCAACGAAGGCCTGGCTGAGACGTGGGAGGAGGCTAGGGACTGCTTGCTGGTGGGAGAATTTCCAGTCTTGTTTGAACATCTGTGTTTTCAGACTTTTTGTTGCACTACCACAAGTCATTTTAATATGCTTTCATAGAAGAAAATATATTGAGCCAGCAGAATAAGATCTACTAAAATAAATTTTTAAAAGGAATACATTCTTATGAAGTATTTTATAGTTCAATCTCAAAAGATTCACATTAAGTTTGACTTTAGACTGCTGGGAAGAGAAAATCCTCTTGATATACGTGCATGGCCTTTTCAATAAAAGAAAATTAAACACATGGCAAATACTTACAGTCAATCCAAATATATAAAAATGAGATTGAGGCATAGAGGACTAAAGTTTCATAATGTAGACACTAAACTCAGTATTTTATAATGAAAGGTGAATGAAAAAGTGTATCTTTACTAGCAACATTATCCACAGTCTGCCTTTATTGCCACTTCTCTATTAAAAAATTGTTGTAAGCATAGTTGGTACACAAAATTATATTGGCTTTAGATATATAAATAGTGGTTCAACAGTTACATACATTATGAAATGCTCACCACCATATGTGTAGTTACAAACTGTCACCATACAAAGATACTACAATATTACTGACAATATTCCCTATGCTGTGTTACAGGGACTCAGATGAGATCCCAAGATTGTGATTTTCAAAACCCTATATTCCTGTCTGTTAGTGATTTCAGTAACAAACACAAAGCATGTCAACAACTTCTTCATTTATAATTGTGAAGACATTTTTCTTCAGTGTCATTCTAAGATGGCATACTTTGATGTTACATGCATTCGTTTCCATAAACTTTATATATATATATATATATATATATATCTCTATTTATAGTGGTTATGGTGAGCTGAGTAGGAAAGGCATATCCCTTTCTTGTCTTGCTTGCAGGAGTGTCTTGTCCACTTGTCTGTTTCTTAAAGATTTTTTAAAGATGTACCGATTAAATTAAATCATATTTTAAATTAACGAGTACACAATTATAAACACTTTTTTTCTGTTTAACCACATATTAAAAGTAGTACAAATAACCACAGTTGAAAAGATAGTCAGCTATTAAAGTGTTTTGAGTGTCTTTGGAGAAGAGTAAAAAGAAATTATCATCATTCTAAATATATTGCTACTGTTATTCTTAGTTTTGTGTGCACCCATGAAAATCTCAGCTCCAGTATAAATCTGTGTGCATTTCTCTAGTTTGGAATAAATGAAAACACAAGAAGTACAATTTTTAAACTATATGCACTAGAAGCCTTCAAATCTTATTTTTAATGTGTTATGTAACTACTCATAAGGTAATAACTTCTTTTAGTTTTTTGTTTTCAATACAATTTCCAAAATGTCAGTTAGGTAAAATGCTTTATCATCCTTACACTGAGATAATTCATCACTGTTTGAAAAATGTAGAACTAAGATAATTTTAAATTTTCCTTGGGTTTGTGAGTCAGATCTATAATTTTACTTGACTTCTCTGAGTTAAAGTTATAATTTAAATAAATACTGTCATATGTATCTACAAGCAGGATTTTGAAATTTTATCCTTGACATCTTCATGTTATTTAAGGCTGATGGTGATCATGAAAAACATCAGACCATAGAAAAGTATGCCCTAAAATTCCTATCACAAGTACTTGGACATATTTTTTAGTCAAGAAAAAAAACTTCCATATTCTAAAACATTATATATTCAGTGTGACTATGTTCCAGCCACCCCCTCAAAAAATCAATCGTATTTTCCAGAAACTTTTCTCTATAAAGTGGAAGTTATACATATTATTCAGTTTTTCATACAGATTTAGGTATGTTAAAATAAATTAATTATTCTTAAAATAATCCCAAATATTATCTTTTTGAAAGGACTAATAAATATACATATTTCAAAAGAGGAAAATCTCAAAAATCTTCATGTAAGTATTTAATA